CTTTTGTATCAAGCGCGTGTGTTTACGTCCCGAGAACCCACGCACGTTTTAAATAACGTTGGTAGCAGATCGTATTTTAGTTGGTGTAAGAAGTGATGCTCTAGAGCGCGCTACTAGAATGGTCCCCAGCGCGTTACACGGGAGTTGTAGGGCCCTGGTCCACACCTTGTCCGCTGCTTATCGCTCCGCAGTACCTCGACTGTCACCGGTGATAAGAAGTGCCCCAGCGGGGCCGTGGTACGGCCGTTCAGCAAGCGAGTGACTTGTTTAAATATCTGTCTCCAGTGAAGTGCATTCTAATAAGTGTGCATTACTAAAAATATCAGCACGAGGTGTTGTCGCCCCGGCGACACTTAGTGCGATCTTGTTTTTTTCTTCTCATAGACGAGTACTCAGAATTGAATATAGTTCCGTAGGGTTAAATTTTCTATCCAACAATGGCAGAAAACTCGTATGCCTCATTTCCACCGCTATCAGATGTGGTGTCGCCAGCTCTACACGCACTTAATGACTATCATTATACGGAACCGCATCTAATTAATCATCTACAGCACCAGAAACAGCAGCATCAGCTATATGCAGCGAGCCAACCTGCGAATTCAACCTCCACGCAGCTGTGTACACCAGCCGTGGGATATTCTCAACTGTCTCCACAGGTAAGTACAGCGCATTCTCCTTCTCTTAAGTGCCCCATATTGTATGATGCAGTGTAAGCTTGGTATGTACAGGAATACAGCATGCATTAGAGTGCAAATGTGCCTGTATATGGCATCCCAACCGGCAATAGATTTTCCACTCTTGACCCTGACCCCGACCCAGAGCATGGTGCCTCAAACATCGATTCTCCTTCCTCACAACCGATTAAGATACCTCCAATCATTACTCATGAACCACCTGTTCATTCGGAACAATTGGAAAAAATTAAGGAATTTATTGAACATCAAAATTTTAGTAATTAAAATCAGAGGACCTTGTGCTGAAATCAGAACAAGTACAGACTTGTAGACTTTACTTTACTTCGTAAGCACTTGTCAACGAAATGGTTGTACTATCATACCTACAGGGACCCGACAAAAACTACTATTTCTGTGGTGCTACGAAATGACCCAACATCCAATAGTGAGGAAGAAATACATCAGGAACTAATCAACAAAAATTTACTAGTAATAACGGTTATCAGACTGATTCTAATCGTAAACCTTGGCCTTTATGTGCAGTTACTTTTACGAAATCATGGGAAACCAGGGCAATATATGAACTAAAAGAACTGTTCAATGCTATAATCACGGTTGAAGA